AGAGAGAGAGAGAGAGAGAGAGAGAGAGAGAGAGAGAGGGAGAGAGAGAGAGAGAGAGAGAGAGCAGGTAAGTCTCCAACCTCGCGGCTGGCCTCCTGGTACTTCCATCGATAGCGATGATAGGATGAGCAAAATTGAATGAATCTACCGCTAGAACATGGAAATATACATTGCGCACACGCGCGCAGCACATCAGACGTGCGCAGCGCGGACTGGCACCCAGATGCGCGGCACGTGCCGGTGCGCGCGCACCTCAGGTCCGCGCACAGTGCCGGTGCGCCGCAAGTATGAATGTAAATGAATGTTTTCCCGATATTGCTGGATGCACATTGCACACTCTAATGTTACCATTAGAGTGGAAACCTCTGGCCATGTTCTGTTAGAGCCCACAATCCAAAGGTCACAGTAGTATACACACTGTTCGTGGGACAGGTTGGCGTACTGGTGGGTGGGGCGGGGGGGGTCGTCGGAAGGTTGGCTACGGTGCATAAAATTTTGATTGTGCCAACTTTGGTGATTTTCCATGCTCACAATTGGTTTTGGAACGGTGCACAAAATTTCGATTGTGCCAACTTTGGTGATTTTCCATGCTCACAATCGGTTTTGGAAAAATCTGGAAAGAAATCAAGAGTGGAGATTGAGAGCTGATCTTCTTGGAAAAAATCAGAAACAATTACTACTACTCTCGAATCTTGGTAAAAAAATAAAAATTATGGGTGTTAACTTTTAAGAAACAGCAGCTGGTCGGTGGAATAGGAACCGGACTGATGCTCCCCAGAATGGAAAAGGAGCCAGAACCATAAGGTTGTGGTTTTGTTAAAAAAAAATAAAAATGCTGCTGGTGCCGGACCCCCAGTGTGGCCGAGTCTTGTTTGGGCCTCTGCTGCTGCGAGGAACATGTCAAGCGGAGACTGATGTGTAACATAGAGATTTGGAAGTTAGTGGGAATGGACGAGGATAGGATATAATAAGTTGTAGGGTAGACACACAAAGAGAGGGACAAGGATAGGATAGGAAGAAAGTTGGGATGGGTGTAGAAGTATGTGAGGGGAGGGGGAGGGTGGGAAGGGAGACAAAGCTGTAATGGAAAAGCCGGGGTAGGTAGGGAATGGGCACGTACCTCGAGGCCAAGCATGAGGCATACGATACATTGTAGTTTGTAGTAGCAAGGTAGTAGCAAGGTAGGCAGTAGGCAAAGTATCTGGATGTCAAGTGAATGGCAAGGGAATAGTGAGAATATACCACTGAGTAGAAGGTAGGGACAACGACTGAGACATGGATATTCGGCTTGAGTTTGGACATTGCCCGGACGGTGAGGCTGCCAGGCGGCTCTCCCCCACACCCTGCCATTTACAGGATCCACATGCTGTGTGTCCGGGTGCTGCCAGTAAGCTTTCCGGCCAGCAAGTGTACCCTGCAAATGAGTCATGGTTTGGGGGGAGAGCGGCCGAAGCACCCACCCCCTTGTGTAAGCGACTAGAGCTGCAAGGGCGGCTGTATCTGATTCTCGTCTGATGTACTTTTTCTTTTCCTCTCCAACTGCCTCTCATGTACTTTTGGCTTGCCGGTGATGAGCAACATGACTGATGCCCTGCAGAATAGATGGGGCTTTGCCTTTTTATTAAAAAAAAAAGGTTCTGATGGCAAAAATTATGGGTGTTAAAAAACATATTTGGTGATTTTCCGTGCTCACATATTTTTACTCGCCGCTGCTAGCCTGCTACTGAGTGACCATAACTTTTGCATATCTTTTGGTTGGTTTCCTGTCTTCGTGCAGTTCTATCTGTTCCAATAAGATCAGGGCGGCTCCTCTAGCAGTTCTGACAGACCAACACGTGGTGTTGCATGACATTTCATGCGAGAGTGAAGCTGAAGATAGGGCAAGCTGTTTCAGCAATTTTCGGGGATTGCCAGTGGATCGTCACTTGGGGCATACTTGTAGCAGTTCTATTCACTACGGTGAAGGAACGCGACTGTAAATGTGGTTCAATACATTCAGAATAGTTAATTTTGTGTCGGTGCATCAACGGAAGAAGGGTGTTACAAAGACTATTGGGGCTAGGTTAAGGCAGAAGCCCCAGCCACCCAACCAAAGAGGCAGAAGATGTCAGTAGCCAATGTACCTAATGACCATGAGTAAGTCTCAAATGGAGCCTCCCTAACCCCCTCCATCAGTCAATTGCTCACTGAGTTACTTTCTCACTCCCTTTCTAGCTCTCTCTGTCCTTCACTCTTCCCCCCCTCCCTCTGTCACTGCGTGAACCTCTGTTTTTTGGACACTGCCATTTTTCCTGTGCTCTCTTCTGTTTATACATTTCCCATCCCCCCAACCCCCCTCCCTCTGTCTCAAAGCAGGGCTTGGCGAGCATCCAGTTTGTATTCCACTGGCAAGTCAAAGCAGGGCTGCGCCAGCAGCCGGCCGGTTTAGCTCGGCCGGTCCAACCGGGGCCGGACTGCCCCAGGAAGGTTAAACCAGGAAATCGGTTAGGAAAAAAAATGCCCGTTGCTTTTTTTTTTTTTTTTTTAATCGCAGATTCCGACTGTGCTCTCCGAGATCTGTCGGAATCCGCAATAAAACTTTGAGGGTGCGATTTTTTTTGGGGGGTGTCTCGCAGGCGGGGTTGTCGTTCAGGTTCTCTCTCTCTCTCTCTCTCTCTCTCTCCCTCTCTCTCTCTCTCTCTCTCTCTCTCTCTCTCTCTCTCTCTCTCTCTCTTGCTCTCTCTCTCTCTCTCTCTCGCTCGCGACGAAAAAGGAGCTCTCTCTCTCTCTCACTCCCGATGAAAAAGGAGAATCTCTCTCTCTCTCTCTCTCTCTCCAAGTGCGCAGGTCCACGTGCGCTGAATTAAAAGAAAAAGGGAGAAGACGAAGAAAAGGAGACGAGGAAGAACACAAAGAGGAGGAGAGGAGGAAGCAGATGAAGAGGACAAGGGGAGGAAAGACGAGAAGGAAGAAAAGAGGAGGGAGGCGAAGAAGAGGAGGAGGGGGAGAACAGAAGAAGAGGATTGAAAGAAGAAGAAAAGAAGACGAGGAGTGGACGAAGAGAAGAAGACGTGGAATGGAAGAAGAGGAAGAAGGAGAAGAAGGAGAAGAACAGGAGCAGACATCAAAGAAGAGAGAGAGGAGTGGAATAAGAAGAAGAAGAAGAAGAAGAAGAAGAAGAAGAAGAAGAAGAAGAAGAAGAAGAAGAAGCCGAGGAGTGGAAGAAGAGGTAGAAGAAGAAAAACAGGAGACGATGTCGAAGAAGAAGAGAGAGAGGAGTGGAGGAAGAAGAAGAAGAAAAGAAAACCTGTCGAAACAGAAAAGAAGAAAGAAAAAAGAAGAGAAGGAAAACAAGATGAAGGAGAAGGAAAAAAAAAAAAGAGAAGAAGAAGAAGAAGGACCAGGGGGCCACAAACCTTCTCAGCATGGGGCATGATGGCGTGGCTTGTCAGCGGGGGGTGCGATGGACGCGGCTGGTTGGCGGAGGCGATGGCGCAGCTCGATGGTGGGCGTGCAGCTTGATGGTGGTGGCAATGGCGCAGCTGCAATGCGTTGGTGTGGGTCGGTGGGGGTTGGACACACGATGCACTCTTCCCCTACATGCATTTGGAAAGCTGTGAACGCGGTTCGATTCCCGCCCAAACGGATTTAATTCAGCGGCCGATCTTGGTCGCTGATCTGTGACGATCAGTGATCAAGATCGGCCACTTCTTTGCCTCCAAAAAGACGGGCCTACATGGCCCAGTTTCCCAAGTGTGGGGCAGGGCCTGCCTCCAAAAGGCCTCCAGATCACAAACACGCCGTCAAAAAAGAAAAACTTCGGCCCCCACGGCTCCCCAGCGAAAATGTGCTTAGGCGACCAGGAAAAAACCAGCCAGGCCCACCGGCCGGTCGAACCGGGAGGCTCCCGGTCCACCCAGGGACCAGCCCTGAGTCAAAGGAAATTACATCATCTACTCACTCCAACGCGGTTCCGTATCCTGACCTGTTCTTTAAGTGTTCAACAAAAGAAAAAGGAAGGAGAAAAGGTGGCAGAAGAAACCAAATATTAAATATTTGTTTAGCAACTTTAACTTTCAAATGCTCTGAAAAAGTGTTCGAAAACTTCGAATGCCCAGCACCCATAACTCAGCTATCTGTGTTCTTCAGTATGTATTTGATCATGTCATTTTGTCCCCTGGGTCAACTTGCTTGGGAAAGAAGGGAGGTTGCGGACATAGGCAGGCAAGTTTCACTGCAACTGGCCTCTGTGTCTGTTGCACACACGCACGTGTGATTGTGTGTGTGCATATGTGTGTGTGTGTGCGTGTGTGTGTGTGTGCGTGTGTGTGTGTGTGTGTTTATAAAAAAAAGCACCCCAAATTCTCTCTTTATTCCCTCGACAAATCATAGCAAACCATCCATAATGAAAAAAGTATCGATATACAAAATATAACAGAAAATGCAAGGTTGGCCACGTTTGTGTGGTTCGGCGCAAAAGTGCCCACACACCCGTCTGCCACCAGAGTGTGTGTGTGTGTGTGTGTGGAAAGGGGGGGAGGGGGGGGGGGGG